CATGCATTTTGAAAATACAATTGGGGAAAAAAAGGATAATAGGAATTTAGCCCTGCTTGCATATATATTTTACTTTTCAAACAGTTATGCTGTTAATTTCTTTAGGTAGCCTCTAAAAATGCTGTCTGTCTTTCTGCTCTCCGGTGTTGTGAAAGAAGGTGTTAGAATAGGGTTCTTCGAAAATAGAAGCTTGGAAAGCCCTGGTCACGGGCCTGATCATTTCTTCCAGGTTTGTATTCTTCCTTTTGACAAAACAATGTTTTAGAGTCATATCCGTAAGGGAAAAGTGTAAGCACTGTGGTTGAATGTACTCTGCTGGAATAAAAAAGTCCATGTAGACTTACAAAAGGTTATTTGCATACACATTAATACAACACTGAAGCTCAGTGGGTTGTTTATATTGTTGTGGGGTTTTTTTAAATAAACCTGGAAATAACAAAAGTACTTTTTGCTAGATTCTTCCTGCATTCATGTTTTCAGTGGGAAAAGATTAAGTGTACACTTTCTGTTCTTCAGGCCTGCTCAGTATAACCAGCTTGTTGGAGGTGGAATTTTTTCAGTCTTTTCCAAATAACATGCTTAATCAAAATGTCATATTTAAGGCATATTTTCAGTTTTGTTCTAGAGATCTCTTCAGGAATTTTTACAAGACTTGTCCTTATTGCTTTTTTAAACCATCACACTTCTCTACATGCACCTCCCAGCTTCCTCACCAAGTGACGCTGCAGTTTTCCCTTTCACTGTGGTTCCCTAGACCACCTAGCATGGTTTCTCCTGACTGACTTAACTTCAGGATATGTCCAGTAAACACAGTGACACTGTGAGACATGTGACATGGGTACACCAAGGGCTTTACTACTCGGGTAGTTCTTGGAAGTACAGTGACACTGGATGTACAAGGTAAATGCAGCTTCATGCCTTGGTATGGTAAGCCACAAAGGACTTGACTGGGGGTACAATTCCGGGGAATGCATTTACTTCTAAGACAGCCATCCTCTATAGTGGAGGTAGGAAAAGCATCCCTACCACTATGCTAATGTAAGTTGTTTTTTCTTGAAGGACATACTCTTTATCCTCGCTTCATGGAAGAAAACCTCCAAAAGGCAATCTCAACAGAATCCAGAAGTATCTTGTAATAAAATTCCAGTTTGAGAACAGAAGTTCCATAAAAATGCAGTAATCGCATTAAGCGTTCTTCAACTTTTCCCCAGGAGATGAACAAAGGCAGCTATAGAAAGCAGTTCTGGACCTCTCACTCTTCCTCCTCAGGCTTCCAGGTTCCCAATGGAATGATCATTGAGGTAACATTGGCCAGGGTCCCACAGGTCAATTGCTGGGCTCCAGGGGATGCTGGTTTCTGTCTCCCAGCACAGAAAGTCTTCCTCTGGAGGAAAACATTTCACAGGATCCAAGGGAAAAGCAAACTAACACACAGAACTCTGTTGTCAAGACGAGCCCATAACTGGCAAATATAATCCATTTTTTTCTCATTAAAACTTATGAGAATCAGTTCCCTCCCAAGGTCTAGATAAAATAATTACTCAGGAAAAAAGGCAAAGAAATTCTCATATAGGAAGTTTAGGCAGTTCTAGAATTTTAGTGCCAATCTGAAGTAGGAAAAGTGAGAAATAGAGAAATGCAGCCATCACAGATACAGACTTCTTTTCAAGACTGGAACTATACTTAGGCACTAACAAGGAGAATGAGTGTAAAGAACTAAGCTGTTACATACATTTTTATGGCTTCCAGAAGTCAGTTTCATACCCATCCTGACTTGGAGTGGATGCAAGCCTGCTCTAATTTTGGCTGCAGTGATGTTCAAGGAAATATTCAAAACCCTTGCTTGCTGTTTCTTACAAAAAGCATAACAGTGTTTAAGATTTTCTCTGTAATAAATATAACCATATACTCAAAATTCTATGTTTCATTCTCAAACACATACATTGTATGCAACTTCAAAATAGCTGGCATTAACTTCAGCATGCCAATTATAAAAAAATACACCCACTAAATACACTGAAGGAAATAGATACAAGAAAAAAAAATCTATTTTATTAGTTTCTCTTTGTTTTTAAGCTTAAGCACATAACAGCCTTTCATAATTTGTAATAATAAGGGATGGTACTAAAAATGGAATGTTAAGATATAACATTTCCCTCAGGCATTTTATTGTTAGTCTTCCATTTAACAATGCAGTCAGTTTTATTTTACAACCAATCACAGAGGTATACCATACTATTGCTTACACTGTACACTATCCCCAGTACTTACACCCTTACAGTAAAAACTTGCCTTTTGTTCAAGAATATGGATTGGGCAGAAATGCCCTCAAATGTTTAAAATAATTTCTAAAAACCAGCATGTATATAGTTCTGTAGGTTTTACTAGAGGTGTATAATTTTTCAACATTACATCTTAATGCCAATTTCCTGAAGGAGCTTTGACTACAAAAGGCATGAATATGTTTCCAAAGGATGATGGATAAATTGGTGGGTGGTAATATAATATATCTTAGGCAGCTGATCAGGGCTTTTTATCCTCTGCTTGTCTTTTAGTTATATACAATTTCAAGATAATTATGGTCTATAAGAATGTCTTTTCCCCTTCCTACTACCAGCAATATTTGTCTTGGTTAAAGGTTCAAGAAACTTCCAATCACATCATAAAATTAGAATAGGGCAATTATGGCATCTCAGCAGAGAATGGAATGTATAAATAGACTGACCACACAATTACGGACATAAGGCAGTTAAGGAACTGCCTTTATGTAAAATATGCATTAATTAGAATACTAGCTATAGAACATATTGTGTCCAATACTCGCTATATAACATATTGTATCCATATCTGAATTTTATAAAACAAAATACAATCATAAAATGTGTAATTTGGGTTGATATGAACCAGACCTATGTTGCCTTTCAAGTAAAGAATACAGTCCAGTCAGATACTGAAAATAATTACTAATGTCATTAAATAAAATGTAATGTTACTCAGTGGTCAGATGCGTTACATTAAAATCCTGACTTCGTGGAGACATTCAAATCCCAAAAATTTCTACCACAGGAGAGGACTTCTTGAAGACACTCAAGCTCCTCCCTTTTAAAAGAAGTCAAGTGAGACGTAGGGAAAACTCCTCGACCAGTGTGATTTGGAGACCTAATTGTGGACAATGCCAGTGTTTGCAAGAAGTGCTGAGGCTTTCCAAGCGTGAAAGTACGTCATGTTCTAGATTGATGCCTGGCATATTACAGGGTTACTTCACTGAAGCAATTTCAAGACAGCAAGACAAATAAGAAAAATCAACTCTACCATGCCTTGTCTGTTAAGCAAAGAAAGTGTTGAATAGTCCAGGTAAGAGTAGAAAAGCATAGAGAAGGTTAGTGCTGGATATATAAACACACAAACAGAAGAAGAAAACAAGACAAAATTATGCTTTCCTCTACTTTTCTGTAGTAATAATTTCCATCCGTTTATAATCTCAGAGTAACACCACTATGGAGTCACAACAGAGGAATGCAGTATTATTACCAAATGTACAACCCTGAAATGTAAGAAGGAAAACTTACCAAATCAGACGACAAAGTCACATCAAACTAACTGACCAGAAACTCGAACTGGTACAAGAAGATAGATGTATATAACAATGTATGATGATTACTTTGCATAAGCATAAAGAACAGGATTTAGGAAAAATATGACGTGAAATTAACAACTGATTCAAAGGTGAATGAAACAAGAATAAAATGAATTCTAGCTAGTCCATTTTAAGAAATTTTAATGCAGTGCAATAAAAATATTCATTTGAGTAATAAAATTTTAATTAGAAAAGCCACAATGATCATGTATTGTATGGTCAGACAGTCAATGATTTGATTATCAGTTATTTAAAACCAAATAGTACTAAAAAATATAACACGTTCTTATGTAATTCATACTTCACAATCAAATTCTAACCAAATCAAAATCAAATTCAAATTCAAGTTTAGGCAATACTGTAAACCACAAGAACAAATTATAAAAATATCACCCCTAAATGAATACTCTTTAGGTTCCAGACCATAAAAAATTTCATTAGATTTTTCAAAACCACAGTCATAATTTCATTAAGAATATACTTTTTTGTGAACACTGAAGATAATACTGAATAGATAAGGCATAGATTCTACCATCACTAGGTAGAAAAAAAGAAGAGTAATCATTTTGTCCAGAAATAGTGCCTGAAGACTCTTAAGGAAATAGCCCGACTTCACTTGATGCAGAAGTAATCAGTAAATTATATGTTACTTTTGATATTAGAAAAAAGCAGCCTTAGAAAGACATAAAATATTTAATGAAATTTTGTAAGATTATTCTCACACTTCATCATTTTTTGCAGTGTTGATCAGGCTTTTTTCCCTTATATAATTTCCTTATAATGGAAACTGTGTTTGATTAAGAGCTCACGCAAGTCTGAAAGGAACCTTTCTATATGACCTGACCCAAAGCTGACCACGTTTCCTAGCAGAAAAAAAAAAAAAAGTCAGAATGAAAAGTACCTGTAAAGAAAGTTGTAAAGATGTTAAATGATATTCTTTTCTATAGGAAACTACAGTAAATATCTACACAAGTTGTGTGCTGTTTCCACCACTATACATTGGAAGCAGCTTAACTACTCTTCCCGATAATCAGGTGGAAACTGTAACCAGTTGGGTTTGCTCAAACTATTCAACTAAGCCCTCTGGTCTGCTTTTCATCCATAATCAAAATAAAGGATAAGTAGGCTCCTACCCCGATTTGGCCTCGGGAGGTTCTTACTCCACTGACTGTAGATGGAAGCTAGTGAGCTAAACTTAATTCCAAAATCTGGCTAGCGTAAATACTCCTGCATTTCCCAACTCATTCTTATGAGTCACCAAGATTAATTAATTTCTTACTATACAATATATACACTTTAAAATGTTTTTATATTCATCAAGGTATTACAGCTTTAATTGTGAAAAACTACAAGTCTGCTTTACCTTTAAGATGTTGTCAGGATGCTCTTTAGCAGAAGCAACAAACAAGTGATGTCCACAGACAACTCCCTCTGCGAGAAAATACTTGAACAACAAATTGGAGTAAAGGCCATAAATATCTTCCTCTGTGAAAATAAGAACAGTGGGAATTTATTCTTTTTTGTTAGATAAATCACTCACCTGCATTTTCACAACACTGTAAAAGCTCTATTTTGGTCTACCTCTTCAAGTATATAATATACAATAGAGATAATAGGTAAAATATGAATCCAAAGCTTTAAAAATACTGCCTGATAATCTTGTATTCCTAAATTTTCAGGCCAGAGAAATAGTTTCCAGTCATGTATTTGATTCTAAGATATGCATGGGGTAGAGCAATAGTCCTATCTTCCTAACAGGCTTTCCCTTAAGCATCAACTAAGATTACCAAAATCATGGTTTAATGGGAAGGGATTTTGTTCATTTGGGAGAACTGGGTTAGTATTTATATTCTTAATGCTTAAAATATCAATCAACTGGCTTAAAATATCTATTAATTGATGCTTTTCACAATTTAATCATATTTGGCATACTAAAGCTATATAAAGGTATAATTTCTTATAGAGACATTCTTACACCTGCATTTCTCTCAAAACCATAAGAACACAAATAGGCAAAACAAACGGATATACTGAAAAAAATAGACAATCTGCAATACTATTTTTGAAAGCTCTCCAGAGCAAAACCACAAACACACTCAACAGACATGTGAACTTGTAGTTTAAGAAGTGCGACAGTACTTGTTAACAGACATCATGAATACGAGCCTACTGAAATGAAAATACAAACTCCCACTGACTTCAGAAAGGACAGCATTTCCTTCTGCTTCTTTGTTGCAAGTTAAGTATCAGAAACTACCAGAATTAGAAAGTCTTGATGAGCTTCTTATAATTAAAACTTATCATAACCTAAAACTATGGGGAAAGTGCATGAGTAATTAACAATTGGAATTTGAACCACCTCTGATTTTCTTTATTTTTAGGAAATACAAACAATAGCAATGGTAATGCTAGCAAAAAACATTCCTAACAATATAACTACCTGATTAATTGTACCAGAAAATGGTAGATCATGCCCTTTGGAGCAATAGATTTCTAATATTTATTTAGAAAGATAATGGAACTATTTGGTTTGGGAGGAAGTTAAATGCAACAACGTAAGGTTTTTCATCTCTTAATCTGGCTGCTGGAAGGTGATGTTGTGGCAGAAAACCACAGAGAATAGATTTTCTTTATACAGAACCAAAAAGACTCTTAATCCATTCTTTGTGTGACTTGAAAATAATTTCCTCCCTATTACATGAAAATGAAAATATTAAAAGAAAAACCATAAAGCCAATAACAAAGGCTGAAAATATGAAGTTGTCATTCATATTTAACGGTCAAAAATACTAAAGAAGGAAAACAAAACTAATACAACTTTGATCTGTAGTAGAAGAGTATGTTTTAGAGCTTAAGAGTAAAAAAGAACCAGTGGAGTGGTGTGGGAAGGAAAAGAAGAAAGGAGGTGCATATCCAAAAAGGAGAAAGAACATCAGTAGCAGTGGGTAAACGTCAGAAACAAATTACAGAAAAACTAGTGTTGCAGGGCTACACTTGTGATATCAGTGCTTGGATTAAAATCAGAAAGAAACTCAAACCACAAGTTTTCAAATTAATCAGAGAAGGAACAGTTCTCCCAGAGATATTCCCCATCCTCCACGGGCTATTGGGCAAAATAGAATTTATTTCCTGCCTTGCTTATTTCACTAATATTCACTTATTTCACAAATACTTACTAAAGAAAGTATTTGGGATACTTTCTTTAAAGGTAGAATGTATACACTTAAAATTTGAAACATTTACTTAATTTCTTTCTTCTTCCTTCTTCAGAATAATCCCTAAAGATACAGCATCAAGATCACCTACTTTGTCTCTAAGGAGAAATACTTACTTAAATGTTCCTCTTTCATCAAATCCAAGAAATGAACTGAAAGTGACTCTAAAGCAACGTTTCCAGAGAGAGAAAAATTTGTCATAACGCAGTCTCTAAGACAGGAAATTACATAAACTGGACATCTAAATAAGCCAAAGGGAATACAATGATGGCAACACTATTGCTACTAGTACTAGCCACTGACTGCCATTTGTTAAATTAAAATCTCAGTAGGACTGATTTCCAAAAGGATTCCAGAATTACAAACTGCAATTTTCTGGGAAGTTTGGAGCTCTGAATTAAACATTTTATATAGTTTATTCTCACATGCTTAAAAAGCTATTGACAGTGTTACTGAAGAGCTGTTTTCCTAGTAACTGAGCTCCGTACACTGTGCTGTGACTGAGGATGTAGATCCATGCATGAGACTAGGACAGAGACAACACAACAGCTGCAGAGGCAAAACACAGAACTGACACTATAGTTTCGAAGAAGCATTACAGTCTTATATTGTAAATATAGTATTTGGCGCCTGCTTAGATCTTAAGTGCTTCCAGGAAAGGGAAAAAACCCTCATACGCAAAGTAATTCTCTCTTATAACTGGAGTCCAGGAACACATAAAGCTCCTGCCCCCTAAACGTTGGCTCTCTCTAGCTATTTACGGTTTGGTTGCTTACTGCATTATAATTGATACTGTATTATTCATAGTATATTGACTTCTGTGTGCTAATCTCCATCTATGGAGCTCTCAATTTAAGAATCAAAGCCCTCTAGAAATCAAAGTGACAGCATGATATCCACTTATTACATTTTTTTTTTTAATTGTCTGAGCTACCTGAAAGAAGCCACCAAGCCCCCCATATAATCACATCACTGCAGCAGATGTCAGTGGTGAGAGACCATTTTGCTAGACGTCCCTTCATTTGAATAAAAGAGGAAAAGAAACACTAGACGGGTGCTCTGGAAGGATCCTCAGCTGTAACATTTAATTCATCCTCAGTGAATCAAAAATCCTGATTTCTTAATTTTTATCCACAGGTTAAAGTTCACCTTCGTCTTCTGATGCCCAGAAACACTGAGTTGTATCGCATCTGGACAGGACTTGGCCGACATTTCGTGGAGTATAAGCCAGTATCTCATTTAGTCCAAGAATTTTATAGTTTGTGTATGCGAGCGCAACTATACAGTCTTTCTGGACCATCATTTTTTATATTAATTATTCCTTAGACAGTAAACAACATGCTCAGCTTTGTGCCAAACATAACATGGGAATATGGAAATGAAAGAGATTCTTGCACTGCCATACCCTTCCAAAACATATTTTACGAAACCCTAAGCAATTTTCGATTCAGCAAATTAAAAACATTTACATTCGGTGTAAGGACACATCATTTTAGCATCAGCCTTTCCTTTAGTCTTCTTGCATTGATTTTCATAACACTAAACTTACAGTAAACATAGGAAATGAACTATTGGAGAGCGATCTAAATATAAAACACCTCATGGTCTGCTACAGTACTCTAAGGATTAAATGTGTCTCAGAAAGCCTTTACAAGCAATGTATCTTGAATTGTTGAAGTCAATGCATCTGTAAGAATCCCTCAGTTCTTCAATTTGTCACATGGAGGATGGCTTTTTATTGATTCATTTCTAGGTCACTAAACTTTTGTGGTATTCAAAAGATCTAAAGTGCACCCATATGGGGCTTTTCTGATAGCATCCATTGTACCCTGGCTTCAATAGTCACGTTACTATTCAAAACCATAGGAGCGCAGCTTTCTTCTTGTAAACAAACAAATCAAAATAAACAAACAAATCATTTAGCACAGGTACTTCAGCAGCTCACCGATTACTTTAATAGATAAATTAAAATAAATACTTTGAAGTGTATTTGCTTTCTGATAACACTTGGACTTACTATTTTGATGGCTAGGATAAATTCTCAACTGTAATCTTTATTTTTCCAAATTACACGCACATCCAAAAGAAGTACTTCAATTCCGTGTGTGTAGGAACTAACCTGAGTGCATTTTAGTCAGCCAAGATACTTACGTTGGTGCAAATCTCTATTCTTAGCCTCTACACTAAAGAGTTGTCCCAACAGCAGCCTTCATTGTGAACTTCTAGCTAGTAAGGCACATAAACAAGACAGACTCTTGCAGCTGCAGACGGGGTCCAGTCACCACAAGTCACACAACAGTCCCCAGCTTTCTCTGATTCTTTCTGAACAAAGAGTGGTCTATGGCTAAGTAGCAGGTGAGTAACTAGTGAAGCGTAAAACTATACAAGGAAAAGGAATAATTTACCTAGAAGTTATGCATATTGTCTCCAGGACAAAGCCTCTTCTGATCCTACAGATAAGGACATAAATAAAATCGTTTATTGTGATCATTATCCACTGGGCTCTTTCCACAACAGCATGCTTTCATGGCTAATACAGTCATGAAGATAAAGCAGTGTTGTCAGTATCAGTGCAATGAATTCCAACATACAACCATGTCGAAAACTAAGGGTAAAGATTAATTCCTATTTATGGCTCCCTTCACCCCTAGCCTGTATAGGCTTCTGAACACATAAGAGACATTCTCAACACCTTTGTGCGTGGACTGTCTGTAGCTACTACTCAGAGAAATCAGTGGGTCATGGAATTAGATACAAAATTTTAAGGCACTGGAGTTTAGCTAGGGCACAAAATCCAAAGGTAGCTGATATGAGTGAGGAACTGTAAATATTTAATTTATATAAAATTAATAACAAAAATCTCATCTAATTGTGGAAATGGATACATACACATGTGGCCGTAAGAAAATAATATCTAGCCATAGGCGCTCTCGCAGCACAGAGGTATTCATGTTCCAAGGGAGGGACGGACAATAAGCAGCGTAACTTGAAGAGGAACAAAAGGTCAGGAAGACTTGTTACGGTAACAAGTGGGTATAGATCATATTTATAATAGCTGACTCTTAAAGATCACTGTATTAAATGGCATGAAGGGCTTTGAAAAACTCAAGGTTTGTATTATAATTGCTTAAAGTGATGAGAGCTATCGGAGGGAAAAATAAGAATGCAACAATGTAGTGTACAGATAGCTTATTTTGTTTTCCCTGTACAAAGTCTAGACAGGTTGCCCTAAAGCTGCCAAAAACCTGTCATAGCCTATCAGTATTGATCACTTTTTCACCAGATAGTTCTACAGTATGGTACTGTGACCTAAGGTGTGTCTTTCTGGAGCTACGAAACATCTCTCTGAATTGCTGCAGGTTATAAGATGCGATTATTTTAATAATCTGAAATTCCATTTAAAAGATACTTTACTAATGTCCACATTTACTAAGCTTGAGGGCATATATTCTGTGTCACTTGCATTTAATTAGCACATGCCAAAACGGAGTTGTCAAACATGTAAGTTACAATATTTGGCATTTGGCCATACTTCAGGAAGGTGAATTCTGGTAACTTGCATTTTGTAGAATTATATTCAGCAAATCACTGTTTTGTACTTCTCTGGAGATTATCTTTTTCAACTTTAAAGAGATGATAAATTCAATTATATTGACAAGTGAAGAGAGCTCTTACCAGTCAGGTTAAATTGCATGTCTAGCAAAAATAATAGTAGCTAATTAAAGCAGCTGAAACTGCTTCAAGGCTTAGAAAGTACAAGTACAGACCTGCTTTTAACCAGACAACTTTAACTTTTAATAACTGACCTCAGCTACCAGCAAAAACCCTCCTACTGATAATCTTTAAAACATTTAGCCACCAGTGACCTTGTCAAATCTAGAGCATCTTCAAGGTATGTAAGCATAGGTTCTTACAGGGTTCCCAGGGCAGACCTATCTGAGTGTGCTGTAACTCACTGTGCAGAATGTGTTATCTAAACAAGGCTTATATTTAGAAAACAAAGTAATTTGTTTTCTAAACAAAGTCCTCCTCGAAACTCTTCCTGAGGCTGGCAAAACAGACACACAACAGGTTGAAGTACATCAGCGAGGGGAGGGAGGGAGGGAAAGGAGGGTGCTTACTCAACAGCTGTGCTGTTTATTTGTTTTGAAAGGGGAGATTCTTCCAGAAAGCTCATCTTCTGGAGCAGTTCAAGATGAAACAACAAACACTCATACTGAACAAGCTGTTTTGATAGCATTCAAATTGCATTTCACGCAGAGTCAGAATGATTGTTTTACCACTTCTTATAAACCCAGTACATCTTTTGAAATTAATGTACCAGCTAAAATCCAAAACATTCTTGCTATATGAACAAAACACAGTAAGTTTCACGTTCCTCTAGCAGCTACAATCTTGCATAAAACTACCACGTGCCTTAACTCTAACTCTCATGTAAGTAAAACACTGTCAAAAGATATATTATAGAATTAAGTTCAACTGAAAATCATGATGCTCTTTATTATGAATTAAATTTTTAAAAATTGTGCACTTATATTTCAAACAATACATTGCAGTCTTATCAAGTAACCTGTGCCATCACCACATCTCCAGAATACAACAGTTAAAATAAATATTTTAATACCCTGAATCTACTATTATTTGGTTAAATTAACCAAGATAATGTGTCAAATAATGAAGATGAGCATTTAATTTGCCAAGGGAGCTAAGCTATAAGTAATGCAATTTATTCTTGCCTTAGAGAATGCTAAAGAAAGGGAGAAGAATTTAACCTTTTTATAACACTTGGAGTACAACGCAGAAAGATCTTCCTAGGAGGTTTATCACTGACAGCTTCAATCCTGGGTAATATTAAGCTTGCCTAGACTAATCTCATGCCAGAATTTTTTTGTATACTGACAGAATATTCTAACAATGCAGTTACAATTCTATCTGCCCCAACTTTAAAAATTAATCTAAAAATTTTTAGACTAATGAGTCATGGATAAGTACAGTTCTTAAATTAAGACTTTTTTGTACATAATTATATGTCTCAAAGTAATATATGGTAAGTTTTATTTGGGAAAAAAATATTAGCTTTCAAATTTAAAAGAGAGAGATTCTCCTTCATGTTTCTGTGAACCTAAATTTAATATAACAAATAAACAGTCAACATAGGGGATAAGAAAATTAAAATCCACTACTGAGTATTGCCATCTATGCGCAAATAGAGAACAAAAATCCAGGTAAAAATCCTATCATTTTCGAATCACTGATTCTTGTCATCTCTTTCATTAGAACACAAAGCTCACTGCCTTTATACTCGCTTCATCTGGTGCCATTAAGGACAGGTCAAGTGGACAGCTAACCCTATGCTCAACAGTAGCCACAACCAGGTATTTAGGAAGAGATACTAAGAACTGAACAAACAAATGTGATGCTTCACCCAAGGACTTGCTCAGCTTCCCACCATTTGCAGCTCAATGACTTCTTTAGCTGGACTTGGTATCTACTAACCTAGTAATGCCAATGGCTTTCTCTCCCATGAATCTGGCCAGTTTCCCCTGGAGACCATAATTTTTATAGGGTGAAGTGTTCCACCACTTAATTGCATACTGTCTGAAGAACAACTTACTTTTGTTTAATGACAATTTTCCAGGTAGTAGGTTCATTTGATGCCACCCAGTTCATCTACTGGAAGGGGCAGTGAATATTGTAATGAGAAGACAAAACAAAATCTCATCATAATCTCTGATCTGTGTAAAATATGACAGGTTCTAACATTTTTTTTTAATTCTTCCTACGTCCATAGCAAGTGTGCAGCTCTTCTCCAACTGAGTGAGAAAAGTAAGACCTTCACTGAAATTAGTAAGAGATGAATCTTCTATCATTTTTCCTGAATTCACAGGAATTTGGGTGAAGTTTCATGAGAAAATTAAGCTTAACTGGCACTTTCTGTCTTGAAAAGGGCCATTTACTTTCTCTCTTAGTCCTGACTGTGCGGTCTTCCTTTCCCTTGTGCTGGCTCTGGTACTCATCTCACATGTTGCTGAGCTGATCCAAGTAGCTGAACAGACAGAAAAGTCTCCACTCTTTAACTGGGTGAGCTTTCTGTCAACGTGGAGAGCTGAGAGTTGAACAGCACCAGCGCCAGCTCAAGGAACAACAAGATTGCAGAGCCAGAAATGGGGAGAAGGATCTGGAGAACTTCTTTCAGTGACAGTGAACTGCTG